ATAGCACAAACACCGTTATTTTTACATCGAACTTTTTCACATAAATTATAATCTGAACAACAAATAGTAGAAAACAATAGAGTTGAACAAGATGATAATTATATTGGTAAAAATAAAGAATACTACCGTTTTTATCTTGACAGATTGCTCCACCATAACCAGATGGACAGTGGCAAATACCGCCAGTAGAAACACCACCATTCAAACATGGTGATGAACCTGAAGGATTTGATGATGCCGAGCATGTCAATGTAACTGCTAAGTCTATACGAAGAAAAAATAGCGATAATTAGAAATAATATTTGTAGAAAAAAGTTTTTATCTATCACTGACTACAATCAGCATCTGTTGTTCGTGCTGAACCTTCTGTGTTGTTAGCTTTGCATAGACATGCATAAGATGTCCCACAGTCATTGATTTCAAGACATTTGATCAGGTTTCCATTGAGATTTCTGCAGGCATCTTTTGAGGGGTCTGCGTTGTCACAAAGACCTATAAATATAAATAAGTTTCTTCTGATGTTTATCTTATTGTATTATTTTCATACGACAAGGTTGATTAATCTCATTTCGACTACCAGGGCATGTGCATAACGACGCATTGGTACTTAAATCGATACAACGATATCCATTCGTCTCATTGAAATGACCACCTAACTGGCATATATTATTACTGCAACCTAAAAAGAAATATATGAACAAAACTCTATCTATACATATATATATATATCATTTGTTTTTACCTTGTGCAGATGCATATGAAACTGCGAGACAAATAACAATAAAAGTAATAAATGTCTTCATTCTTGTACGAGTTTTGAAAATGTGAATGCTTTTAAGAATAAGCACGAGTGTTTTTATATCGATATATATACTAATCACTTCCTTTTTGTAATAACACATATATCAAATATAAATTGTTGTTGAATAGGTTTTGTATTTCAAAAATATCTGAACAATATTTATTAATAAAATATCAAATAACTAAAAATAAATGCATCTGTAGTTTTATTCGAAAATGTTTGATAAATAACTTTAACATGAGTTCTTGACACATAAATTTGACATTGAAATTTTATATTTATATAAATATTTTGTTTTTTTGTTATGCTATTTATTTTTCACATACACATCACTTAATAATATTTGTTAATTTCTAATTCACAGCAAATAATATACAAAATATACTTCCTACAAATATTTCGTCTATAATTAGACTTTTACGGGGTAGTACCAACTATTTTCGCATTTGTATATAATATTTAATCATAAACGTCATATTTCATATAGATATTTTAATACTTAAATAAATATAAGAAAAGAACAATACTGAATAAAAATATTATGAATTTAATTGAATTTTATCTACTTGTCACTACTATTATAATGCAGATATGTTATCTTATTTGATTAGTACACTGCGTGCATCAATTAATACATGAACAAAAGCGGAAATGTATTGAAATTGTAGTTGTCTTACAAGAAACATAATTCTATTTTGAATTTCGATTGGAAGTAAGACACTATTTATATTTCACAAACTTTATTTAGATTTGAATATTTTAGTCAATTGGAATTTTGTAGTGAATGAAATAGTTAATTTATATCATGATCATGTATATGAATATATTATTTTTATTGATGAGTTCAAGAGAAAATAACTGTAATATTCTTTACCAAAATGACGAACTTTTCATTGTTGCTAATCAATAGAACTTTTGTCACAAATCTCTATATATAGCAAAACATAATCAAGTACAGACACCTTGATACAGTTTATTTGTGATTATGTTTTGTATTATTTATATGCTGAATAATATTGAATAAAATATTAATCATCAAAAAAGCGAAAAAAGAAAGGTAAAAATATTCTTTTTTTGTCAATATTTACTACTTAAGAATAGTCAAAGTGAGTTGTCCTTCGATATATAATAGTGTTAATTCAAATAATATAATACTAAAAATATTGGGTTATAACAAAAAATATTTATTATTGAATCGATAAAGTTTTGAAATTAGATAGTTGAATAGAATGTTATTGAAGTGAATAAAAAAAATATTTTTGTTATTGAACATTTCTTTTTCTACAAGATTACATTAATTTGATTATGTTTGCATATAATTGATTTAAAAGAATATGACTTTAGGCAGTGGAACTCAAGAATGTAGAGATTTATCTGTTGATTTGCTAGCGAAAAAAAACAGATATCTTCTTGTTTTAATTTTATATACGAATAAAATATAAAAAATGATGTTGATTTTATCAATGATAATATTGTATCGTTGAATTATGAATGATGTTTATCATATATATAAAACCATTCATTGAAATGAACACAATCTGATAGATAGTTTCATTTTTTATTCTTTATCCTCATAAAATCGACATTGATTTGACCTTTTCACTTCAATACATATATGTTATGAAATAGTAGAGCCTATTCATTCTTTCGTGAAATGCATCGATGCCAATATAAAATAGACCAACGTCATCGATAAGAAGAATGCCTTTCTGCATCGAATCACTATATATGTGTAGTATGCGATCATTCTTTATACTTACTTTCTTTTTTTCTTCTTCTCTATAGTAGAGTTACTCTCGCTTCTTCTTCTTCTTCTTCTATTCTCTGATCGTCATCATGTTCAGTAGCGCTCAACCATCATAGTCGTGCTTGTATTCGTTCGTGCCCATCTTAAAGAATGAAAGAAAAGAGTAAAAAAAAAAGTCGAGAGGAAAGTTTACTTCTTTTTCTTGCATTTACTCTCTCTTCATCATGGCATTAATGTGTGGCACCTTACTTTTATATAGCAACAGTAATCTTTATACATTGATACTATGACTAACAAATAAAACAAGTGCGTGATCAACATTTTAATAAAAAAAAGAAGAAGCATATATTATTATTATTATGGATATACCATCATCAACATCATTACAAAAAATAACTCAGAATAAAAATTCATCATCAAGACATTTTTCGTTTAGTGCTTCGTCTATGTTTATTAATACAAGATATGATTCATCAGGTAAATAGAATTCTTCTGTGGAATGGTATTTTAATAAAAATGAATTATGCATAATAATAATATGCCAGATGGCATTGAAATTCATTTGGGATTGATATTAAAATTGATTTAATTCTGTCATTTAATTGTCATATCGACAGACAGATCAAGGTAGAAATGTTCAACCATAATGTACAAAGACAGATAATTAACCAAAAAGGATTTCTATTCAATTAACAAAAAAGAGAACTAAAAATAGCAATGATTATGAAATTAATTTTCTTTATTTTACTGTTCGTTTGCTTATAGAAATAATTGATTTTTAATGTATTATATATATATATATTTATTAAAGGAAATTAATAGTTCTATAGTATTTTCATTTATAAATGATTTAAGAATAGGAAAAAAAAGCCTTCTATTCAATTGAAGTTAAATATTATGCAATAGAAAGAACAAAACTTAAATATTATATGTACTCAAGTTTGTTATCAAACATTTTAATTGGTATAATATTTTAAAGAATTCTTTTATTTGCAGTTAGATCGCTTTTTTTTGTTATTGTCTTCCTACTCCGACGGTGAACGTTTCTATTGTTCCAACCTTCTTTTTTTCACTTACTCTTTCCGCATATGAGTACCGCAACATGACATTTGAATGAATTAACCACTAAGACTATAGCTATAGTCTGCATAATAATAGCAAGTTTCAACATACACGTACATTTCTCTTGCTTTATTCTCTTTTACACTAGACCAAATAGTTTCTTTTACTAACAGTCTCATCGTCTTTCTCTTTTCTTTTTTTTTCCCTCATTTTTTATTCTTTTTCCTAACGGTTTTTTTTTGACGATCGTGTGTACCAGCTGTATATGTGTCTAAGACATTGTTTAATGCAATATCATATGCAAATTTTATTTCGATTATCTGTTATCAAACGATACAAAAAAACAAAATGGATGATTTATCTCAAATATCCATTTTGTTAAGTAATAATCGAATAAAACCTACATATTCTCGATTATCAATTGTACAAGAAGATTCTCAAGAAGACGACAATCAAACAATAATGAATGATCAACAAAGTGATACATCTGATTTTGATATTATTGAATCAAATAATAATAATAATAATATAAATGCCAATGAATTATTACATGACGGTATTTTATTTTAATTTAGTTGAAATAAAAACAGAAAAAAAGAAAGAATAATTGTCGTTTTTTTTCATTTCGATTGAAAAATGATTATTTATCTCTTATAAATCTCTTGTGTCATCATTCGTTCTCATATCCTTTTATAATCCATCTAGAGAGAGAGAGAGAGACATTGTTCATCGCACGTACTGTACGTAATTACTCGCGTAGTGAAGACGATTGACTGTCGTATATATATGTAGAAGATGCTCGTCTTCTTCTTTTTTTTCTTGTTTATTTTCCTGAGTAAATATCCTTCTTACCATTGAGACAGACAGTCTAAAAGTTTATCTTCGATAGAGCACACTTAATTTACTATAATGAATTTATATAAACGATCTGAGTTGTTAGATTTTTATCTAACTTTAGGTAAAGAAATTATTCGGTTTTTTTCTATATTTGAAAATTTATTAATTATCTTTTCTTTTGTCTAATTAAATTTTTATAGAACACGTACAACAGGAAACATCATTAAGTGTTTTATCTACAGCTGATTTACTTCGTGAACGACTTGCTTTTCTAACTGGTGGTACATGTCATCAATGTCCAATTCTTACATTTCCAGATAATCCACAAATTGAATTAACACAAGATAAATATAAAAAACTTGTTTCATATTTAACACAAGTACCAAGGTATATTAGCAAATTTATTTATTTTTGTATTTATATTGTCTTAATTAGTGAAAGTGAACGTCAACTTGGTTTTGTTCTTATTATTGATCGACGATCAGATCGATGGATGTCCGTAAAATCAATTATGACTTATATTGAGGTAAAATTAAATGATTTTTCTTTTCAGTTAGTTACTATGACTAATCTAATTATAAAATGAATACAAATTCCGTGCATAAATATAATCAAGAATAGACTTTAGATTTTTTTACAATCATTTTATAAATATAGCATTAGGTTTAGTTTTCTTTATCGATAATAAACAATATATTTATAAGAAGTTGCTTTCAATCTTAGTATGACAATAGAGAAAAATAAATTAGTTCTTATTCAATATAATTCATCTATTTCATAAGCATGTTATTGCAAAGTTATATTTTTCATCAAAATATCACCCTAGGATGTATATATATTTACTTTTTATTGCCTAGAAAAAAAAATAATTTCTATTTTTTATCCTAAATACATTACTTAAAGCAAAGCAGAATTTTTAAGACGTATATCTTTATTATAAAAAAAGAAAATTCCATCACGTAATACATCGAATGAAATATGCATATCTTTCGTAACATAATATTAGTTTTAAAAGAAAGCGTTTATTATTAAGAAAAATCTATATTTGATCTCTTCTATATTCAAAGGAATTTTTTCCGTATTCAATTCACTGCATTTATCTTCTCCGTCCAAATTCTTGGATGCAAAGAGCACTTTCTCGTATAACTATTTTAAATGAAATAACATGTATACATCATGTAAGTTTAATTTCTATCATTAATATTTATATATGATTTATATTCCTTATGTGTATTTAGTTAATTGTTTGTCGAACATTAGCTGAACTTCATGAACATTTTGATGCAAGTCAATTATCAAAAGATTTAGGCGGCATGATTGATTTTCGTCTATTTGAATGGATTGAACGACGAGCAGTAATTAGAAGAGATTAAAATCTCAATCTCAATTTTCATGTTTGTTGTTTTTTTTCTCTTTTTCTTTGGAGGCCATTGAAAAATTAACTCAATCTATACATGAATTAAGTGAAATGCTACTTGTTTTTATAAAACAATGTGATGAAATTGAATTTCCCAATGCAGTTGAATCAACACAACAATTACTTATGCAACATTCAACACAAAAAAATGAACTTGAACAAGAATTATTAAGAATTAAAACGTATGCATTCTTTAAAAATTATTTATCATGAACATAAAAAGTGTATTTAACTAATGATTAAACACACATTTTTCTCTATATCAATAAGAGCTATTCATCATTTTTTTTTTGTTCGAGTGTATAGATCTTATAGACATCTGAAGTATTTATTATAGGTTCGATGTATATAAATCAAGAAAGAAAAGAGAAGGAAAAGGTGCATATATCATACATTGCTCGACGATGTTCTTTTTTATGTCGTCGTCTCTTTTCTCTCTTTCTATAAATAAGATGACTGCGTCTGGGTGATGATTATCATCATTCCTTTACATTAGTTTGTTGACTTTATACATACATTTGTTTCATTCTGTCCTTCTATATACATTTTAGGTGGGGTCATTCACTTTTATGTATTATTCGCCAACAGCATCAATCATCTTCAACATTTCATAATAGTACACTTGATGAAAATAATGATCTTATATTATCACCTGATCAAGCAGCCCACGCACGAGCTTGTGCTAAGTAAGTATGCCGTTTTTATAATATTATGGTTATTATTATTATTATTATTGATATATAAAAATGAAATATGACGATATATTTGTTTATACAATTGTTATTGTTAGTTTTATCATTGTGTCTTATTATAATTACTTTTGTCTTTACATGAAAAATAAATTATATTTTTTTTAGTGCTTTAACACATGTTGATAATAGTGAAGATATTCTTTTACAATTTTGGTCTTTACATGAAGCACGTTTAAATCGTTGTCTTGCTTTACGTCATTTCGAACAACGTTTCAAAGAAATTCAATGTACTTTTATACAATTACATAACGATATAATTCAATTACCTGATATAAATACAAGTTTACTTTTATTTGAATGTTATCGAGCTGATAATAATAATAATAATAATACACGAGAAGAAATTGATCAAACGTTGACTCAAGTTGATGACCTTTCTCAACGTGCACAAGTAATAATATCATTCAATGTTATTCTACCATATATGTATGTATATCTCTAGACTATGATCAGTCAAGCAACCCTATTAGCACATGATGGCCTTGATCTGATTATGGAACAACAGAAACAACAATCGATAGCCTATGGTATCGATTCAATCGAACCAAAATGTCAAGAATTAGAAGAAATGAAAAAAAAATTAACTGAAGAAATTGATGAAAAAAAACATAATTTAAAACTTTTAAGAGCCTATATTGATAAACTTGAATCAGTAAATATTATTAATTGATTCTTATTTCTAACAAATATATCTGTTAATAATAATCTTTTTTTAGATTAATGATTGGTGTACACGTGGTAAAGATATGTTAGCAATGCATCCTATTCATTTATCCAATGATAAAGCTATTCGTTCACTTACTGATTTGGAACATTTTCTTTTGGATTTATCAACTATCAATGTTGATGAATTACAACATACATCAACACCCGAACCACTTCGTGTAAGCGAGAGAGAGAGAGAGAAAAAAATAAATTTTCCATTTCAATAAAGATTCAAAAAAGTGTAAAAAAATTCTTCTTCCGTTGTTAGTTAAATATAATCTTTGACTTTTTGATTGTGTATAAATACTTCTAACGAGAATTTTATGACAGTGAATGTCATATTCTAGGATATGAGATTAATTAGGCAAGAGAGATGACAGAAAGGAAAATATCAAACAGCTACACCATAGGAGATTTCTATTTAGTTACAGACTGATCTTAAAAATAAACAGAATCTATTACATATACAATATACTATAGATTTCTCAAGGATTTTGTTTTTTTGTGTTGCTATATGGCGTTCGTTTTATTATTTCTTATAGTCAATGATTATTCAAGTATTCAATCGTGTGAATGATGTTCGAGATTTATGTGAAAAACGATGTGAACAACTTCGTCGTCTAGCTTTACCAATAAATCGACCCGTTCAACGTGTTCATCCTTTACCACTACAACAAAATGAATCTCTTAATCTTATTGGTACAACAACATCGATTTTACAACAACAAATGAATGAACATTTTCTTTCTTCTGATAACGATCATAATCTTTCCTCCTCCTCATCATCATCAAATAATAATAATAATAATAATAATACAACATACAATGAATGTACTACTGCTCATAATGCAAAAATGGATAAAAAACAGAGGTAATACAAATTTTATTCAAAGTTTATCATAGGTTATTTTTTTTAGACATGTTGTAACTGAACTTCTAGCTACTGAACAAGTCTATGTCGAAGAATTACGTACAATAATTGAAGTATTATTTATTTGTTTATTTTTATTTCAAAATATTATCTTATTTCTAATAGGGTTATATGCTTAAATTTGATGAACCTGAACGATATCGTTATTTACCACCAGCTATAATACAAAATAAATCAACTCTTTTTTGTAATTTACCAGATATTTATGCATTTCATGCGACGTAAATATATTTTGTTTTTAAATTTGATTGATATGTTATGTATATTTACATTATCAATGATTTAGATCATTTCTTCGTGATCTTCAACAGATCTATGATGATCCATCGTTGATGAATACATGTTCTATTGGTAGTGCTATTGCTGCATGTTTTATCCGACGGGTAAAACTTTTCTCCTATTATCTAATATTAATAAAGAAACACAAGAGAATGACCTTTATACTTTAACATAATTAGGCTTTACAACATTTTGTCATATTTAACATCAAATATTTAAATATTGCATAGATATGTTGTCGTTAAATTAGTAAAGACATTGATGAATGTTTTTCTATTTTGTTATCATATAGACATAAGATAAATATGTGATTCCTAATTCATTTTTAATAATTGATATAATGTAGACTATACATTGATATCATATAGTAATATTAGCTAAGTATCAGAATGTCTATTTTATTTATTTATTAGTTTGGACCTTGTTCATTAATGTATTGTAATTTGAGACACATATGTGATATAATATATCTATACGTTAGTAATCGCTTGATTTCGTTATCATAAAAATTACAAAAAAAAGATAATAAGTTTTAAGTAGACAGGTTAATTAATAATATGTTAGTACGAATTTTTATGGTTCAATCAGAAATAACTATACAGTAAAAGTTCTTATAGGATAGCAAAAGGAATAGTAATTAACTTATTGTCGTTTTTTTTATTACAAACAACGAACTTTTATACCAGGATGCTAAAAAAGAAGACACTCGAAGGATTATCGGACCTTGATCTCTTTGCCATATACAATATGACTACCTTAGGCTTGAAAGAACTAACAGCTGTTCGATCAACGTTTTTGATTTGATATGGAACAAGAAAATTGTATTACAATTTCTGTCAAAAAACATCTTTATTCAGTCTTTTAGAAATCTATACTAAGCTTAGCTTTGGCAAAGTTACAATCTTTGCTGTCTATCTTCTCATTTTGATTATATATTAAACTTATCTGTAATTAAAATCATGTATATTATTCACGTAGACATAACTATCGTCTTTCTTTTTGAAAATATCGATTGAGTATTTTTATTATGATTACTATCTATGAATTATATGAGAACTTCATTAATATTTTATATATTGAATTTTTAGAAGTCAAATTTCAAATTATATGAACAATATGTACTTAATAAACCTCAATCCGAACGTATCTGGGAACAATTTTGTTCGGGACATCCATTTTTTCTAGTAAATTATATTTATATTCTTATTTTTCTATTGAACTAATTTAATTATTTAGAAAATTCAACAATCACTTGGTCATCGTCTTCCATTAGATTCATATTTGTTAAAACCAATTCAACGAATAACACAATATCAACTTTTACTTAAAGTAAAATTCTATATTTGATTACTTTTTCTTTCAAATTATTATTCAAAGGAAACAATAAAATATACACGTAATGAACAAGAATGTTTGCATTTACAAGAAGCTCTTCGTGTTATGCTTAATATATTATCTGATTTAAATGATGTTATGCATTCAACACAAATTGTTGGTTATTCTGTATGTAAAACAAAATTCGTTTTTGCTTTATTTTATATTTTTTATTAATTTTAAATAGGATAATTTAAATACATTAGGTCGAGTACGTTTACGTGGTGAAAATTGTTTAATATCGAAAGAAAAACGTCGCGGAACAGTTTATACTCGAACAAAAACAAGTACAAGAGATATATTTTTATTTGAACGAGATATATTATTATGTAAGAAAAAAGATGAAGGAAATGGAAAATCTGTTCAATATCAATTAAAAGAAGTTATAAGAGTAAATAAAAGATAAATACAAGATATTTTTAAATGTAATATTTCTCTTATATGTTTCTAGATTATTGATATTGCTGTATGTACACATCCGAAAAATGATCGAAATAAACTTGAACTTCTACTTAAAGATTGGTCATATATTATACAAGTATATTAATGAATTTTTTGCATAGGGAATATCTTATGTATTGAAATTTAGTTACCAACTATGTCGTCAAATGGAGAAAAAGCAGAAGAAATGAGTACACGTTGGATTGATACGATTAAAAATTGTGTCGCACAACAAGCAGAACAACGGAGAGGTTTGTGGAGAAAGTAGATTTGTGAAATCGAAGAGATTTGAAAGAAGTCACTCATAGATGAAAATCATGAAAACAATAGACTGCGAGATTAATATTATTACAGTAATAGGAGAACAAAGATATTGAAATGAAGTTTTCCATTTAATGGATCTGCAGTATCCTTCGCCTTTTATTTTAAATTAATCTTTGGAATACAATGAAACCGACAGATTAGCTCATTTTACACTAAGAGAAACATCATATAGACTACGATATCGACATCCTTCTCTAGGTCTGGCGAGACATATATTCTTAATAATTTGCATGAAGAATATTTATTCTTGAACGCTTTTGTTGAATTCAGTAGTACTTTTATGGTGACAGAATGAATAGGTTTATCTTTCTATTCCGATAACTTTTGAGCATTAATAAAGATAATAAAAGTAATTCAGATAGTTTGAGAGGATTCTAAACCATTCTTTAATACCCGATTCAAAGAGATTAAGTATTTGTTTTCATCAACTACATTATGACAAGAATGTCTATGAACCCTACAGAAACTAGATTCTCTTTTGATATGTTAAATAAATATAATAAAACTCGCATCTTCGTATTTTTGAATATTTTACTAGATTTTAAAAATATTTTGTTTTATTTAGCTGAAATGAAACAACGAAGTGCTTCATTAGATCATCCTGCATATAGTCATCGTCGACATCTTCAACACCGTGCAACTGTTACTATTCGAACTCCGTATGTCTAATACTTTTTAGAAAAAAAAAGATTTATCTTTTCTATTTACTTCTAGTGATTCTGATGATCCTGATGATGAATCTCTTTTACCAGGTCCAATTATCGATTTAAATAAAACAAATATTAAGCGAAATACTAAACTAGTATGTATTTAATTTATTAATTTTATATCTAAATTTTTTCTTTATTGTATCTAGTTAACGAACAATAGTATAGCACGTTTATAAAAATATAAAGAATGCTTTTCATACTTCTTCTTATAAATCAGATATTTAATCCAGGTAAAAATTTGTATTCAAAATATTAACATAGAGTTCTATTCTGCTCTTGTTTTATTTTAGTATTCAATGCAATAATAATTAGCATTGTATCTGGTTTTATACAATCCGGTGAACGTATCTTTTTCTTTTTTTTTCTAATTTTAAAATGTATAGCAATTATAAATAGATTTTGTTTTTTTTTCACGAAAACTTAAAGATAAATAAATTCGATTTGAATGAATATAATCTATACGTAGTTTTTTTTTGTCTACTCAAAAAGTGAATACATTATAGAATCGGCAAATGTGTTCATCTGGCTGTATACAAGATGACTGTTTTAAGACTAGTCCGATTGTGATAAAATTTTGTAGACAGAATTGTCTCATCAAGAAACTGCTGAGTTATAGCAAGCAATATCATTATTTCCCGTGGTTTTCTATGCCAATATTGACCTATATCCAGTTTTCAGAAAAAATTATTCTCATATAACTAAAAAGTCTCAACTAATATATACAGAATTTTACAGGCGACAAAATAGTACATAAACCATTAAGAAACAAGAAGGCTAAGTCATCTACTACAAAGATACCTACTTCAACTGAAAGTAATGACTACCATCTTATGAGTCGATAAACTCTGTGAGAACAGCACCTATATGTATAGATCTTGACAATCGTCGTTAACGGAGATACAGTAGTCAATCTAAATATTAAAACTATTCTAGCAAGCCGTTTTTTCTAAAATTTGACTTTTGATTCTTTTCGAGGACATGTTTTTTCTATAGACAATTTAATTAAAATCAATCTATATGAAATATTTTTATTTTTTAAAGTATCCATAACACTTACATAAGAAGAAAAAAAATAATATATCTGTCGAACATCTATTACTTCAAATATTCATTATTAATATCTATTTGCGAAACATTTTATTTTCGACAATATAGAAATATTGAATTTAACAGTTATCATTTTCGAACAGATATTGCAACTGCATCACGTACATTGTCATCATATTCTCTTGTACTTTCACGAAGTGTTGTTGAATAGTTTGGATTATTTTGAACATATTCTAAATAATCAGGTGCACCTGGATAAATAACATTATCAGCAATAATCATTGTTCCAGATTTGATTAACCCAACATCTTCAAGCATTTTAAAATCACGTAAATACAAATCTTTGGAATGATCAATAAATATTAAATCAAATGAGTCAACATTAAAATCCTTATTTAAATGAGGAATGACATTATTTGTATAATCAACAATGGGTTTTATACGATCAGTAACACCAGCATATTCAAAAATAGAACGAGCAATTTCAGCTGATTCAGAATCGCAGTCAACAGAAATAAGTAAAGCATCTTTAGGCAATAAACGAATCATTCTCAATGCACTATAACCGAGAAAAGTACCTAAACAAAATAAATAAAAGATCTATGTAAATAACAAGACAAATTATACCAAGTTCAAGAATAGTTTTTGGTTTTCTTGTTTGAATAGCTTCATCGAGAATTTTTCCTTTTTGATCACCAATATTCATTAACCATTGCTTTGTCCAACCAAATTTATCGATTGTATCAATAATATTCTGAATATCACCTCGATTACTATTGTGTTGAACATAATCGTGAAGTTGTGAACGTGAGTCCAACATGTTTGCCATATGTACCTGATTTATTATTGTGTACTATTCGTCAGTTTAAAAATGTACTCCTTTGATTAGTGCGAAGTTGTTTTTATAGACAAAAATGTAGATAATCAAACAAAGATATATTATTATACGTATCGCATCATCAACCTAATAAATATGATTCATCTTATAGTTTTATAATAAGTTATAGAGACGAACATTTGCTTATAACATATTATAGCCACATTATTAGAGATATTTCTATAGAAGAGTCTTTTTAAATCATAATTTTGTCTGGAATATTTTTGGAAACGATGACTAACTCCATCTGTACTAAAAGTTTATTTTGTATACATGATACTGGAACCGACCGAGATTAACATTGTGCATTCCGATTTTAATAAGATGGCTTATCTCTACTAACGTTCTTTTCGAACTTTAATAGTTTGTAAACATATATTTACCCATTTTGATATAATATACTCGACGATTTTAATAGAAATATTTCTAGTTGAACTCTTTTCTCATGTGTATGGAGTTCATGCATATGCTATTTACGTCTCACTGATTTGAAATAACAATAAATTAAATGTATACTAACTATTCTTACTTAGTAATCTGAAAATGACATGAAATTTTCAATAAAGAAACATCCTTCACAATAAAAGAATGCGTGGATAAACTATAACATAATATAATATTAAAAGATTTCAACATATTTATTTTCCGTTGTAAAATAAACAAAATTATATGTAGTTAAATATTTGTGTTACAAACAAAGTTACATACAAAAACATTGACGATGAGTCTTCCTTGTATCGATTGTATAAAATAAAACTAGATATTTATTTATTTTTCATGCTATTTATAAAATATAGGACACTCTTTAAATATTATCTTCATAAACATTGATCTGTAATCATCATGAAATAGTTGTTTATTTCTAGACTTCGTATATAGAAGAACGAAAATATTATAATTACTTTTTCATTCTTATCATCAATGTAACTACATTACACTCTGTTTAGAACGGCAAAAGAAAGAATAGCAAAGAGAAAAAAAAACTTATTCTCCAATGTCAATTAGCAGAACGTGGAGCATATAATATTATTTTGCAACTGTAACTATATTTGGGTCTATGAGAACATTAGCAAGCAAGAAAAACATCAGTGACATCTTCTGTGCAAAAAAAAGATTTGAGAATCAGTTTTTATCAGTTGTTGAGAATGAAAATAATCAACAAGAAAATATACTTATAAATATTTTTTCAGAAGAATTCATATAGAAAATAATAATTCTCTATATATCATTGATAAGCTATGACTGTCACATATTTCTCATCGAAATATTTTACATATGATTATGTATGGAAGCATATGGGTAATTATTCATCATAGAATAAACAGAAACCTATACGCGGCTAGTTGGATATATAAGAAGAGATGCAGGTCATGCGCTCGCAGCTGTTGTTTTTCTTCATTCGGTATTATAAACTTGATTTTATTATTGTTTTAGATTTATATTTTCTTCTCCATCATCACAAGAACTTTTAGATGCATCATATATATTATGATAAGATAATATGAGAGTGAGTATACGATGTTGGTATAATAATTCACGTATGAATACTAGGAATTTATAATAATAATTAGACGATAATTGTCGTATTTTTAGTTTCCATTAGTTATTATATTAACAAATAAAAAAAAGACATAAGATTTCGAAGGATGTTTGCTTTTCTTTAAAGAAGCTGCCGTTGATAAATGTGGGGCGAATATAGTATTAAAAATATTTTGCGATACAAATAAATAAGACACAAATGAGGTTATGCAGTAAACCTGACATGTTTGTCATAAATCTTTATTCGATTTTCTTTTCAAGTTTAGTAATTATCGCATAACTATGCAAAAAATACTTAGGGCTATTATTTATCTTTTGATATAAAAGAATAGATAAAATTTGTTTCGATTCTTTTCATCATTTGTATGTTTTTCTTATCTTGAAAAATTTATTTTTCTAAACTACATTATATGCATCGGTAAGAATAAAAATGTTTTCTAAAAAAAATTATATATTCTAATGACTTTATACGGATGCTTTTTCATAGTACCGATAAAAGAATAATAGTTCGACAATGCCTTTCTATTCTTTTTCAAAAACAAGTCGTAGGATTTCACATCAATAGTATTATGGGTTATTTAGTAAAAGAAATCCATTAATGTTTTTAACAAGAAGAATATTTGAACTTTAGGAAGGTCATCTACTGAGAAGTTGCAGCCAGCGTGATGCTTTCAGAACATTCTTGAGAACCATTTTTTTATTCTTTCGTCAGTTAATACAATCATCTAAATTTAGATAATAGGTAGTGAAAACAAATACTTTGTTAGCCAAAGGCAAAAGATAAATAAAGGATCAAAAGAATCTTCTTTGAATATGTCTTTTTTCTCATTTATAATTAGTTATAGAAACTACGAAGAATTTATTTCGCAATTTCCTTCTTATAAGTCAAAGTTCAAGGATAAAAAAAATTAACATCTTATAAGACTAAGATTATTTTCATTGAGAAATAAGATATAAAGTTGTAAATAATGTATTTAATAAGTAGAGTTGAGTTTACTCTGAAAATATAATATCGATACAAAATTTTTTGTTTTAATAAAATGCGTATATTATTTTTTTTCCCAACCCTGTCAAGCTTCTTTTACAGATCAAGTATCATAGAAAAATACTTCTGTATTAGTGATATTACTTTAAATTGTTCAAGTAATTCTCGTTGTCTATATGAATTTATCACGACAGTTTTGACTCGTTTATTATAATGGAAAAGAATATTATATTTTGTTTCTTCGCATGTCATCACTAATTATCATTGAATAGTTATAAAAAGAACTAATTTAATTTATTCGCTTTTCTGCTTTTGTCAGGATTACACAGTAGAATATATTTTTTCTAACTACATTCTTTTGTCAAATAGAAAATATTTACTTGACAAATATAGAGTTTTAAATTTAATAAAATTTATTTGCTATATTTGGTTTCTACGTAAGATGAATTACTGTTTTCTAGAATTTTCTAATTCTATCTCATCAGACTTATTTTTTAATATTGTATATCTTAAATAAGACTAATTTCAAGAGATCATCTCTTCATGTATTTATTCTCGGATTAGTATTCATATCATTTAGTAGTGATGAAACACTTTATTATTAAATATATTAAAGCTTTTTTTTAAAATTATATCAGACAATATTAGTAATGCATATCACAAGTGATGTATTACAAATGGCAAGTCAGGAACTATCATGTATGACCTTAATAAAAAACAAAAAAATT